TGGGGGAAGTTGGATGGGAATACCGGCTCTGAGAGCTTTACTGGAAACACCCCTGGATGCTTGGACTACCTACCAACTCCGGCATTTTTTGTTGGCAATCCCTGCCTCGCTACAGATGGATAGGTCGCTGACTCCCTTTGAGGACATGTGTGGGAGGGGGGAACCAGTCAGACATGCACTGTCCCAGACTTACAAAATGTTAGTTGCCCCCCCGCCAGATTTCACCCCGCAATTTCTGCAGAGGTGGGAGGCAGACCTAAACACTGCCTTTACCCCGCAGCAGAGAGACAAGATGATATATTTCTCCCTTAAATGCTCGATAGCCAACAGGTTTCAAGAACAGGGATACAAAGTATTGTCCCGGTGGTACAGGGTTCAACACGTCCTGAACAAAATGAACCCCAACATCCCAGTGGTGTGCTGGAGATGCGGTACTGCAGTGGGCACGATGCTACTCATTTTCTGGAGTTGCCCCTCCTTGACCAGATTTTGGGCTGAGGTAGGGGACATTATCAACCAATTGGTGACACCAGAATTGGCTCTGACCCCAGAGGTGTTCCTTCTGCACATGACTAATTTGTCAAGGCGCAATTGCAAGGCGTCACTATCTATTCACCTGCTGAACGCTGCCAAAGCCTGTATCCCGGCCCTCTGGAGATCGACCCAGGCTCCATCTCTGCGCCTTTGGCTGTCAAAGGTTAATGAGATTCACCAGATGGAGGATCTAACGGCCACTGTCCACAACACCGAAGAGAGATTCCGCAACACCTGGAGAGCGTGGTCCCACTACACCATTACTGATGCATATCTTCGAATTGTGACCCCTCTGGGTGACACATGAGTACTACTCCCTCCATGGAACGCAATTACACTACGTCATGTGTAGTCTTTGAGTCCTGTGTGAAGTATGCCGGCTGGTTGCACTGTCCCAATGGGAGATACCGGGGGAGAGAGAAGAGACCCTCCCCTCCCCCCTCCCTCTGCTTTCTCTTCCTCCTTTCCTTTTCCACACCTGCCTTGACCTTTTCTAACTGCTCTTCTTTTTACCTCATACGTAGACTATTATGCAGCCACCCTATTGAATTATTGATGGTCACTCGGGGTCCATGGCCTCCGAGCGTGGGGCTCCGCACTGGCAAGAAGTCAGGATTTTCCTCCTGTATGTGGGTTGTCCACGCTGATGGCGGGGACCCCGCTCGGTCGTCACCTTGAGCGGGATTGAAAGTGGAACACTCACAGGGGCGGCTGAATTACCCCGTCTGACTAGGGGCATGACTATAATGCTGTAACCAGACTTGCATTGACTTACTGTGCCGCTGTGCCTTGTACACCACTGTCTCATTTGAGGTTTTGTTACTTATGATGCTATGTATACTTTACTCTTAATGTACAACAGTTGGCTGCCTGTGTGCAGACCTATACATGCAATATTTGTGTCAGTTTGCATTGTTGATTAATAAAGCTGGATTTCAAAAAAAACAACGCATATTTTGCTTGGTGCAAAGCAAGAGGTTTTTACTCGAGGAAATTCTCTGTGGTACAAATGTTTGCCTTCTTGCAGAAGGGGCTGGACTAGCATTTGGTCCTCATCACAGAGAGGGAGAGAGGGAGAGAGGGAGAGAGGGAGAGAGAGAGAGAGAGAGAGAGAGAGAATATATAAGATCAATTATTTCTATATAGACAAGTGATAAAAAAAAAGTCCAATCTGTGCTCCACAATTAGTTTACATCATTAAACTTCCACACTTTTCAGGTGCAATAAAAGTGTCTCTCTCCCCGTGCCGAAAATCTCTCTTAAGGTGCCCATACACTGTGCGATTTATCGCACGATAATCGTGGGAAATCCTGCGATTGTACGATAATCGTAAAGTGTATGGATGGCGTGCAACCGTTTTTACTGTACGGTCGCACGTCTTTTGTCTTAGGAGCATGCTAGAAAACCAGCCGAGAATCGTACAATTTTCCCCACACATAATAATAATACACTCACCCGAGCCCCCTCACCTGTTCACGTCTTTGCAGGGAGGAGGCTGTGAGCAGGATCGATCCCTTGTTTTCTGGGGGTGATTAGTGAGGTCTGCAGCAGATCTCACTAATCACCCCCAGATAACCAGGGATCAATCCATCCTTTCTTTCGGCCGGAGCTCAGAGCTCCGGTCGAAGGAAGCCAGAGCTGACAGGAGCAGCTCTGCGGTCTGCATCTGACACAGATGCAGACCGTGGAGCTGCTCGCGCAAGTACACCACTGGCTATAGATGACTACAGATCTCCATATATTATACAGCCATGCAGAATGGCGCTGGCTATAAAGGACTACAAATCCCAGCAATACCTTATACAGCAATGTAGAATAATACCATCAGCTAGAGCGGACTACAAATCCCAGCAGTTCATTATACAGCATGTTCGGTCCTGAAATGTCACTTTTATCCGACTTTGTGAGTGGGGTGGAATTTGAGATTGCACTCACAGAGTCGGATAGAACGGACATTTCAGGACCGAACAGCTGTTCCAGGGCAGATCAGTTCTCCTGCACATACGATTTGTGATGCCGATCTGCCCTGGAACAGCTGAGAAAGCGTTGGAATACTTGACCTATTGGCGGTCACACATTCTACCGCCAAAAAACTGGGCGGGACTACATTGACAAGTGTGACCACATCACCGGTCACACGTTGTAACGTAGTCACAAACTTTGATAGAACACCGCCATCAGGGGGGTACGGCCGGTACCCATGTGAGGGGTCTGGGCATCCTGGGGGGCCTCTTACATGAGTATCAGCTGTACCAGGGGTGGCATGGCAGAGGTGACGGGGTGGAGGAGGCCAGGCACCAGCCCACCTGAGGCCCTGCAGAGCCCACCATAGAGAGTCTCAGATGGGCTGTGCAGGATCTATGGTGTGCTCTGCAGGGTCACTCTCAGGTGGGCTCTGTGGGGTCTCAGGTAAGACCAGAGTCCATCGGGTTACTAAGCCCAGAGTCCATCGCGTTACTAAGCGCACATATACCTATATACATAGCATAAAGGTAAAGAACAATATATATTGAGTGTTATCTTCATTTTAAATGTCAAAAGAATTTTGTGGCTCCCGGTGTTTTCTTTTCTGTGGGAAACGGGTCCCAATGGCTCTTTCAGTGTTTAAGGTTGCTGACCTCTGTCCTAGTGAATAGCTTTCCATTACTCAGGTAAGCCCAGAGTCCATCGCGTTACTAAGCCCAGAGTCCATCGCGTTACTAAGCGCACATATACCTATATACATAGCATAAAGGTAAAGAACAATATATATTGAGTGTTATCTTCATTTTAAATGTCAAAAGAATTTTGTGGCTCCCGGTGTTTTCTTTTCTGTGGGAAACGGGTCCCAATGGCTCTTTCAGTGTTTAAGGTTGCTGACCTCTGTCCTAGTGAATAGCTTTCCATTGGCGAAAACAAAAATTCTCAAGTCTAAAAACTAGGGATGCACCAAAAGCATTTTTTTTAAGACTGAGTATGAGTACCGATACTTTTCCTTGAGTACTTGCCAATACCAATTACGATACCTTTTTTTTAGTGTCATGTGACAGTTTTTCTAAAACAATACAGACTAATGACTTTAGACCGATGTGATCCTGATAGCTCTGCCACTGACGCCATGCTGTGCACGATTCCCTGCTGAATGGACGCCGCCCATGTAAAAGGGACCTTTAGGAAAACAAAATAAAGTATTTTGGCTTCTGGTGTTGGTACATCAATGCGGCAGATCTCAACGCACATCAACTCAAGGGCGTTTTATATGCACTAAACGCAAGACACCTGGTATGAATCCCAGCATACAAAACAATACAATATGGAATCAATAGTTATAATTTATAAAGTCGCATGAAATGATGGCACAGATGTCAAGTTGGGAGTGCCATAACATATACAACACATCATCTGCATTCAGCAAGCGGATTCACTGTGTTTTGTAATGGGACCTGCAGCTACTGCCTTGTGTAATACAGCATGGACTGAATACACCCACTTCATCTCACATGAATGCCTGGTACGTCAGTATGGAGAGTCATGGGAAATGTAGTCCCATACAACAGGAAGCAAATCTCTGCTGATAATCATGAGGTCAGGGAAAAAGAAAACACCCCTTTTCTACATTTCCTGAAGCATGCTGCTGCCCGTCTGACATAGACATACAAGGTATTTGCAGTCTCTGGGTAAGGACACAATGACAATGTACAGAGGGATATACACGTCACACTACAGTTGTCCTCTAAGAACAATGAAAGCTTCCTTGTTACAAATTCCAGCACAAGGGCAAACTGTACATGGAATCTTTATCTAATTTTATTGCTTCTATTTTTGGAGCCATTTTAGTGGAGACCACATGTTTTTTTAAATGTATGTCATTATTTCAGAACAGGAAAACCAGTTGTAAACAGCTAATGATATGTTTGTCTCTAGAGTTTTTATGTTGCAATGATAAGAGGACTGTAAGAAGAGCTCACAGCATGAGATGTGGATTCTGACGGCTTTGTGCTATAATCCCTTAAGGTGAGTACACTGGAACAAAAACAGTCCATTACAGGTAACTTGTAACTTCTTGTGTATGCTATATAGTTCCAAGGAGGTCAATGTTAGAGATCCTGCAGACTGTAAATACAAAATATCTGGAAGAGTAGTTTGTTCGACTGGCCAATCTATATCATAATTCTGTATACAGTATATAATATACATTTCATATACAATACATAGTATGCTAGGTAGTAGGTGTTGATTAAAGTGGAACTGCAGGTATATATACTTTTAAATACTTAAACTGATGTATTAACCGACGTTACTACAGTGCTATACAGCGATCTTCTGGGTCCTCCGCTCTGAAAACACAGGGGGTCACTCGCTTGGCACATGGGCCAATCAGAGAATGCCTAGGATTTTTAGCGATAAATACTAGGCGTCCTCTGATTGGACAAGGAACGATTACATCACAGCACCACCCCTCGTCCAATCTGTTCAGCTTTAACTATTTGATTCCCGTGTCCTTTTCCTCCCTTTAACCCCCATGACTCCTAAAGATTTCCTTTTTTTTTTTTAAATGTTGATGTCTTAGTACACCACCTCTTGCTCGGTAGTAAAATACCTTTTGCTCTTGTGGTCTACGCTATCATTACACATCATTTTTTGGGGGACAAATAAAGCCGCATTCAACTAATGTACCACGCAAACGTGCAGAAAATCTTGTGATTTTGCGCTTGTTTACAAAACGTGGAAAAAATGCATTTTTACCAATACTTTTTGTTGGTGTCCCAAGCGCAAAAAACGTGCAAGAACACACAAAGCTCCAAAAAAGTGCATACATTTTGGGTTTTTTTGTCGCCCATAAATCTATTCCCCACTGCTTCCTTCTGTATGTTGCTATGTCATTCTGCACGCTGTGCTGTATGTTCCCTATTCCACATCGCATCCATCTGTATGCTGCGATGTACAGTCCCTACTCTATATCGTGTCATACTACACACTGTGCTGTACCTTCCAATCCTGGTATGCCTTTATTATCTCCATTGCTCACAATGAAAAGTCATATTGTAGCTGTCAGTGTGTAACTAAAAGTTTGAGACAAGTTGGTAGTAGGTAAGACAACAGTTTCTCATTAAGCGCTCATATGTCATTATGGCGCTCACAATGACATGCAAAATACAAACCAAAATTGAATTACACCCAAGTGATGGTTCTTATTGAAATTTGAGCAAGTTATGTAAAGTGAATTCATTCCTAAGTGGCAGGAATACTGGTTAAGCCTGTTTTAATATTATCATTACTTAAACCTAGTTACTAGTGTGGAAACATATTATTATACCAGAAGAAAATAGGTTATAAAACATGGATGCAGTATACAGATCTGTTGAGGGGTGTTACAACTCTTCAGATTTTATAGATGTAGAAACCGTAACTTTCCATTGCAGATTTCTAAAGTATAAAAGAGTTCCTCCCTATCTTCAGCATTGTTCTATTTGTAACGATGAGCCACTATACCAATATACCAATGACCACCACTTTGGCATGCAGAGCACTCATAGGTGGGCTTTTCTAGCAGAGGTCCACTTACCAGTTTGAAATAGAAAAGCCCTTTTTAGACATTCAACTCCTGAATCTTTTTTTGGAGATATACTGCAAGTAAGGTTTGGGAATTACAGTATACTGTATATAATATAGTTATTTAGCCGTTCAATTGCACAGTTTAAACCACAAAAATAGCCTGCGTTTATTGATCAGTAGAGTGTGAGTGTGAGAGAGAGAGATTAAATGAGAAGGGGTGGCACGATCTGGGATCAGGCTCGGAGTTCAGTAGCTGAAACAGCACGCAAAGTCGTGATCAAACAGACGGTAGTAGTATAGCAGCAGGAAGAAGTGTAGTCAGAGATCAAGCCGAGGTCAGTAGCCAAAAGGTATCGGGTATGAAGTGGAAGACGATGAGAGTAGTCTGTGAATCAGCAGCCAAAGGTCGGTACATGGGTAGCAGTATGAGCGGACTGTATCACAGAAGGAGCAGGAAGCAAGCTATTGGCAGGAGCACAATAAGCTGGCAAACAGGACGTGCAGAGGCATGGCTTAAATAGGAAGTTCAAGGGAGGAGCAAGGAGTTCAGAGTTCAGCAGACACTAGGTTTCACTGAGGATTAAACAAGAGATCAGGCAAGGAGCTATCCAAGGTTCTAAGGAGGCTCAGCAGGTAGAACCACTGCCAGTTACAGCAGAGGCCCTGGGTTCAGATCTGGTTCCTGACAAGGGGGAAAATAACCTGCTCACTTACTTTTAACCCCTTTCTGACGATAGGTAATTAATGCTGAGATGCTCAGACCAACAGTGACAACTGAAGCAGGCAGTTTTTTTTCATAAGAAAACCCATATGATCATTTATGATTGGCTATCATGGTGGTCACATGATCAGGAACGTTGCTGCTTTTGGTTCCTTATTGTTAGTGTAGTCAAATAGAGCGTCCCACCGCACTCCTGACCGAGAAGCCCCGTACAATGTGGGGGGGGGGGGGGGGGGGTTGCCAAGTTTCGTAGATCATGCAGGTCATATCACCATGCGTGCCATCACCATTTAGTTTTGAAGAAAACCTGGAGTGCTGGTGACCATTTTATTGTTAGTGTAGACCAGCGACTGTTGCAGATGCTTGCTCCCAGTTCTAAAATTGAGCAGAGATTAATGTTCTCTCACAGGGAATGTTGTCTAAAGTTGGCCATACACTGCTCGAATTTCATCTCCCCACAAGTTTTTGTTTAGCATTCCTCTGGACAATAATGTCAGAACTTGTTGAATTTGATGGATGTCAGTTTTTTCGTCAATCTGATGTAACCCAAAGTAACATATAGTAGCATAATAATGAGCAGTGGTGGTCAACTTACAAGTTATATATATAACTTCTAATATTCTGTATATGTAATGCTGTAGAAGACTGCGGTAATGCAGTATATGTAATGCTGCAGTGGACATGCTACAGGGGATGGTCAGGGAGTGCACACATGCTACATGAGAGGGTCAAAGCATGTGGACATGCTAGAGGAGATGGTTGAGAGTATATGCATGCTACAGGAGATGGTCAGAGAGTATGGACAAGCTACAGGAACTGCTAGAGATCGGTTATTAAAATCCCTTTACATGCTTCAAGAGAGGGTCAGAGAGTGTGGACATGCTACAAAAGATGGCCTGGTGTGGTGGGAGACTGAAACCACCCGGCAGGAGACTGGGGAATTATTACATGATACTGGTAGAGATTACTGTCATTACAGTCCCTTTACAAATCAATGATTCCACTCCCACTATTGTTTAAAGGGCCACAGACTGGGTACCATAAAGATAGAGTATAATTTGTAAGCTTAGCTGGCTTATTCTGCTGGGTTAAGAGCAATGTGCACAAGTACAGGTGAAACTCGAATAATTAGAATATCGTGCTAAAGTTCATTTATTTCACTAATGCAACTTAAAAGGTGAAACTCATATATGAGATAGACTCATTACATGCAAAGCAAGATAATTCAAGCTGTGATTTGTCATAATTGTGATGATTATGGCTTCAAGCTCATGAAAACCCCAAATCCACAATCTCAGAAAACTTTTGGCAGGGTGGGCAGTTGCCAAGTCCTGCTGGAAAATGAAGTCAGCATCCCCATAGAGCTCTTCTGCGGAAGAAAGCATGAAGTGCTCCAAAATCTCCTGGTAGACGGCTAAGTTGCATTAGTGAAATAAATGAACTTTTGCAGGATATTCTAATTTTCCGAGTTTCACCTGTATGCTTCCAATTTATTTGTTTGGGCTACTTGTTATCACCATTGCTGTGTATAGTGCTTTGATCGGAGAAACCTGTTCATAACAAATGAATTACAGGAGGAATAGGATTTCTATGTATACTGAGGACATTCATAAATTTTCTAGTATTTGTCTAAATTAATCTTTATGTTTACAGAAAATTCTGCTTGCTGAAATCAGGAGAGGCCTCATTTTATCATCCGCAAAAGAGATTAACAGCTTCTTTTGTAAAAAGGTGATGTAAAAATTGCGCTATGGACAGTTTGTGTCTAATGTATGTTATACAAGTGTAAGAAATGCGCCATTCATAATGGAGAGTGGATATTGCTATATGCTCTTCACCTGTGTTTACTCCACACGGATCCTACATTTTTTTTTATCGCCTGCATTGTTCCACACCACACATTATGCCAATGTCATGGTATGAACGTAGCACATAGAAAATAGTGGTTTTCTGTGTGCCCTTGCGTTCACAGGCGTTGATCCATTGTGGAAAAATACCGGCCCTGCAAATGGTGTAAATGAGTCTCTTAAAGGAGAACTATGAGGTGAGTGATTTCCAAAGTGACAAAGAAGCGGCCACAGGTCCGCTCTATCAATCGGGAAGTGAGCAGAAACATGCACCGATCCGCTCACTTGCCGATCGTCTCCCTGCAGTGAGCAGTGACTGTTAGCCACTGCTCCCCGCAGGGTTTTCCCCCTCACGTCTCCGATCCTCCAGCACTGAGTGAAGGAATGAACGGGGGAGTGGGCGTCCACAGCTGGCTCTGCCTCCAGACAGGCAGAGCCAGCTGTCACTCATGCAGCTGGGTATATCTCGACAGTATTGCGGCGCTCTCAGTATATCGCAGGCAATAACTCGCTATATACTGAGCTTTCGGTCACGGGAAGAGGTTAGTATATGTCCTCCTTTTTAAATCATTGTTTTGGCCCTAGTAAGTAAGACCATACTGCTGCTTTATAAATGGGCCTATAAATGTTGACTTGTATCCACCATAGGGATCATCTCTCTTGTGGTAGATGTAAAGCTACATACCCCAAACAGTAAAATGGCCTGCACATGGGTCCTAAAAGTTAGTGAGTTAGGGACCTCGTCCTGCTCTCCTCCATATTTCCACATTTATATTATACATATTTCGCTTTGTGAAATAGCAAGGTATAGGGTGAAGATAAAAAGAAATGGAACAGAAAAGTAGACAAAAGTTTACATACACTGAGGTTTTCTGCAATGTATTCAATTCCATGTTACAGAGCGCTGTGAATGTATTCTGTATTTCGGCAAATGTTTTTGTCAAATTCCTGGTAAGAATACAATTTCTTCCTTATAAATGTGCCCAGTCACTTTAAAATACTGAACATGGGAAAATGTATAGCAGGGAAAGGAGAATTCACAGATCAAATAGTGAAATCAAATTGAAAAGTGGCAGATATATGGTGATAATTTTTAGTTTCCATTAACAATGTTTTATACAATTCCTTTCCAGAATGGGAAATTTGTTCTCAGATTCCAAAGATCTCCACAATGGTGAATCTGTGAAAATAATAGAGGTAAGGACTGTATAGGCGTGTGTGTGTTTGTATAGATATATAGACAAGTGTGAAACAATGCTGCAAAGTAAGAATGCTTTCAGAAATAAAAGTGTTAACCCTTTCATTATTTTTAAAAAAATCATTTTATTTTGTTTTACATTTATTTTTAATATTTAATTTATTTTTTATTGATTTTGTATTTATTTTTTTTACTGTTACGGGGGCTATGGTGAAATCTCGGGGGTCTAAACAGATCCCTGACATTTCCCTTTTGAAAAAGAAATTGAGGACACCAAATCCTCAATTTCTTTTTCTGCAGCCTCAGCACTCAATGAATGGGAAGCACTCAGTACAGAGGCTTCCCATTCCATTCAGAAACTGCTGATAGTAAAATATTTACTATCAAGCAGGTAATGAATGGATGTTGGATTAGCTGAGTCAAACTCCTTCTGCAACTCGAACCCAGCCCCAGCAAGCCGTTGTACGGCTGATTTCAGTCGGTGTACGGTTGAAATCCGCTGTACAAGCCTGAAGTGAATAGCCGAACGGCGTTCGGCTCACTTCACTTCGGGTTGGTTATTCACACGGCTGCCTTAGGGGGTGCCTATGTGTCCCCAGTTATTTACAAACACCGGAGTGATCACACAATCACTCCGGTGTTTGTGCTGCACAGAGGATCGGTAAATATCAATGATACTTATCGATCCTCCGCTCGGCCACGCACAGAGCCGCTGTCATCTGGAAACTGACAGGATGACAGCGGCTCCGTTCTCCTCACCGCTCAGCCATCCTAAAACTTGTGGCTCCGATCACTATGCCGCTTGGCCATCCTGAATTGCGGCCAGCCGCCGCTTGCTCCCGGGAACCCCCCGACCCCCCCGCCGGTGATTTTATTACGGATCCCCGCTGCCATAGACCCTACAAGCAGCGGGGATCCATGGAGTCTCTCATCCCTCCCTGGGAGCCCCGGTGGCTCCAGGAAGGGATGAGAGACTCCAGATGCTGGCAGCAGTGGTGAGGGGCGGTATTTTCAGTAATAGCGGTCATCAGCGGCTTGTGAGCCGCTGATGACAGCTATTTTGACGGGGACAGTCAGCTGAACAGTTCTGCTATAAGCTTATGGTCGCTAAATCGACCATGAGCTTATAGCAGAACTGTAAATGCCACCAACGTAAGGCATACTGAGCTGGCCAGCCGGGAACACTTTTGTTCCGCCGTATGCCTTATGTCGGTGGCAGCGAAAGGGTTAAAAGAGAACTATGAGGTGAGTGCTTTTCACTCACCTCATAGTTCTAGCCGACCTGTGACAATAAGACTGGCGCATACCGGCGTTCGCTCACCTCTCGATCCTGTCACGGCTCTCTCCGCGACAGGGGAGGGGCTGGATTCCCCCCGCTCCGATCCGCCAGCGCTGACTGGCGGAACAGACGGGGAAGGGGGCGGGTACAGCTGGCTCTGCCTGAGCCAGCCTCTGCAGAGCCAGCTGTCAGTCACGCACCTGGGCGGATCCAGACATAAATGTCGGGATCCGCTTCAGCTGCGGCGTCTCAGTATACCGTGAGCTACAGCTTGCGGTATACTGAGCCTAGGGTGACGGGAGGATGCTAGTTTGCGTCCTCCCGTTACCCTAAGGAGAACTATGGGGAAAAGACTTAACCCCATAGTTCTCCTTTAATGGTTTATTTTGATCAATGAACAAAATGGAAAGTAAATGAACAGAAGAGAAATCCAAATCAAATCAATATTTGGTGTGACACCCCCCCCCCTTAAAAACAGCATCAATTCTTCTAGGTGCACTTGCACACAGTTTTTGAAGGAACTCGGCAGGTAGATTATTCCAAACATCTTTGAGAACTAACCACAGATCTTCTGTGGATGTAGGCTGCCTCAAATCCTCCTGTCTCTGCAAGTGATGGTTTGGCCCCCACAGAGCCCTGGTCTCAACATCAAGTCTGTCTGGGATTACATGCAGAGACAGGAGGATTTGAGGCAGCCTACATCCACAGAAGATCTGTGGTTAGTTCTCCAAGATGTTTGGAACAATCTACCTGCCGTGTTCCTTCAAAAACCGTTTGCAAGTGTACCTAGAAGAATTGATGCTGTTTTAAAAGCAAAGGGGGGTCACACCAAATATTGATTTAAATTTCTCTTCCGTTCATTTACTTTCCATTTTGTTAATTGATAAAAATAAACTATCAACACTTCTGAAAGCATTCTTACTTTACAACATTTTTTCACATCTGCCTAAAACGTTTGCACAGGTGTGTGTGTGTGTGTGTGTGTGTATTGTATTTGGTGTTCTTACTCAAATCATTAATGCAATAGTTCTATTTGTCGGCTTGCTTAGTAACAATGATATAAAAAGATTGCGCTTTTTCATTTTCAGGAGGCCATCTCCAGTAACTGTGTAGTCATTTTCTCTAAGACTACCTGTCCATATTGCACAATGGCAAAAGAGGCATTTGATGATATAAATGTGCATTATAAGACAATCGAGTTAGATCAAATAGAGAATGGAAGTCACCTGCAATCTGCGCTTCATGAGATGACTGGAGCCAGAACAGTAAGTACTGCATTTTACTAACTCCTCAGCAGGTTAAAACGTGGGCTAGACAGAGTATTGCTGTATGCAATGAAAACATAAATGCTTGTCCCTAGTACATTGTTACTACATAAAAAAGTCAAATAAAAGGATGCGGGTATTCTCCATTGAGATCAATAACACAATTATTAATCCCTCAACACAAGCTAGGGTGCTTGCTGTAATCCTGGATTCTGACCTCTCATTCAGGCCTTATATCCAATCAGTGACCAAATCCTGCCGTCTTAATCTCTGTAATATTTTTAAACCTTGTTCCTTGTTAACAAATGACACCACTAAGCCACTAATTCACTCCCTTGTAATCTCTCGCCTTGACTACTGCAATTCCCTTCTCATTGGCCTACCTCTACACAGGCTGCCCCCCCTTCAGTCCACCATGAATACTGCTTTCAGACTCATCCACCTCACCACCCGCTCTGACCCCTCTCTGTCAATCCCTTCACTGGCTTCAAACTACTAACAACAACATACAAAGCCATCCACAACTCTGCCCCCAACTACATCTCCAACGTTATCCCAAAACATCACCCAAACCGTCCTCTCCGCTCCTTCCGAGATTTACTGGAGGGAGCCAATGGGACCTAGGACCAGGTATGTAATACAGCTTTAATAGTGTCCCCTAGACCAGTGGTTCTCAACCTGTGTAACCTCAGGAACCACATTTTTTCTTAGTCATTAATTCGCAACCCAAATCACACTGCAATGGAAAGCACGGCATTAGGGTACCGTGTGTTCCGCTGAGTTTGGGGTACCATTCAAATGAATGGCAACGTAACACACTTCCCACACCAGAATGCACCGTAGGTGCAATTGCATGAAACAGTGCGTTAATTGCACGGGACTGTGTGATTAACGCACTGTACTAGTGCGAACGGGCCCCCTAAAACACTGATATACATACACAACCACATACACATTAACACACACACATACACACTCAAAAACATGTTTTACTTTTTTTTGTTAAGGTCCTCTCAGTTTCCCTACCTTACGAGAACTGTAGTGAATCCTCAGCCTGGGGTCCATTGTGGGCTGCTGTGACGGAGCTTCATCCATATGTGAATTGCTTGTACAGCTTCCTTGCGTGCCCTGTAGAGGTGCTGAGAGCCAGAATGTGATGTCACTCAGGTCCAAGCACCTCTACAGGACACGTGAGGGAGCTACAAGCAATGTCCTCATGGATGGAGCTCCCTAGCGGCCATAGCCCCTTCCTATCCCACCTTAAGCTGACACTCAGCGACGGCCAGCATATTTTGAATTGATTCTTGGTGCGAGAACTGACAGTGACAGTGCTGCGCTAGGGGGAGGCTAAGGAACCTGTCACCTACAAAAATGGAAACATTGCAAGGACCCACTGAACAAGGGGTCGCGACCCACCAGTTGAGAACCAAGGCCCTAGACAAAACAAGCACTTATCCCTTGCATCACTTGTTTGTTTGCCCAGAGAGGAACTTTTTACTATATTAGAGAAAGTGGTGTCCTCTTCCTCTCTGTGCTGTGTGATGGGCTGTGTACATGTTATGACTGAAATGACAGGGATGCAAATCATCTGATTGGTACCATAGGTCCCTTATACACAGTTGGGGGAATTTATCAAAACTGGAGCAGACAGAAACTGGAGCAGTTGCCCATGGTAACCAATCGGCTTCCCTCTTCAGTTTGTTAAGTTTTGAAAATGAAAGAGAGATGCTGATTGGTTGCCATGCACAGCTGCTCCAGATTTTGTCTTGATAACTCCCCCTCAGTATTCAGAACAACATTCTGTAGTCTAAAGATGATGCAACACTAATGAATTTTCACCACCAATGGATATATCAATCAGGAAAAAGAAACCTTCCCAACTGATCAATAATATTTACTGTCTATGTTGTTATATGTATCAGTGAAGAAAGCCAGCCCTTGGAAGACAGTGATTCATTATCAGCCCTCAGTTAGTAGTGGTTTGTTCATGCTGCTGAGCAATAGACACGCTGAGTGTTTTTATCTGTTTATTACAGGTATAAACCCATAAAAAAGCATTTAAACATGCTTTATAGAATATCTGTGATGAAGGAATAAGGAGGCCGCCATTGCTGACCTTCTTATGAGCATTCTGCTCTGGATAACTGCAACTTCAATACTTGAGTCACTGACTTGAAACAATTCTGCTACCATTGAAGTTAGAACTTCTGATTGTACCTTTTGTTCCAGGTCAGCAACTCATAATCTGTTTGAGGACTTGTTTCCACCAGCCCGTGCATCTGCCCCAATGCTTCTCATTGCGATCTGGGGTTGGAGGTGGCGTGACAGTGCCATTCAAGTCAATGGCACTGCAGACACGCCCCCCCAACCACCCGCAGTACAATCAGCCACACAAGAACGTGTGGTAATAAAATGCCCTGCGTTTCAGTGCAGTGGGATCGCAAAGAATAGTGCATGCACTCCACACAGCAGAATGGGGGCGGCACTCAGCGCACACACACACAATTCCCTAAGTGTGCATTTATTTGCATACATATGGCGGGGTTGGTTTTATTTTTTTATCTTATCTTTAAAAAATTTGATGGTTCTTTTTTTTTTAGCACTTTTTCCATTATTATTTCTTACTTTTTTATTTCCACTTTCGCATTCGGAAGTGACAGGTTCTCTTTATAGAACCTGCCCTCCAATACAGGAGATCAAACACAGCACTGTGCTCAATCTCCTGTGACAGGAAGGCTGCGAGGACAGCGTTCCTGTATCACTGTTAACAGGGAGCAGATCCGGGAACGTACGTTCTCCGTTCTGCTCCAACCTTGCAATTTGAAATGGCAGCCTAGCTATACATTCCCCTGCTATCTGTTTGTTTTTTTGATGGCGACCACTGTCAAAATACAAAAAAAACAAAACCGCGTATAGCATTAGCTCCTCTATCTGCCATCATTTCAGGGAGGTTCCCTCTCCCCCATCCCTCTGTGGATAGAGGTGGTCGGGGGGTGGGGGAGAGGGCACCTCCCTGAAGTGAGAAGGGCACATACCTGAAACAAGTTTTTTCAGGTTGGGATGTCTGGAAATGGGAGAAATATTGGTGTTGCCATTATCCAATTGTCCTCAGTTGTCGCTAGGTCCAGAGCTATCAAGCTCCTTTTCAAGTTCACTCATTTGTGGAATATTAAAGGAGAACTATGAGGTGAGTGATTTTCACTCATCCTCATAGTTCGAGCCGACGTGTGACAATGAAACTGTCACACGTCGGCTCAATAGATCGGGAAGTGAGCAAACGCATACCGTCGCTCGCTCACTTCTCGATCATGTCCCTGCAGAGAGCCGTGACTGTCACTCACAGCTCCATGCAGGGATCCCCCCCCCCTGTCTGATCCTCCAGCGCTGACTGGAGGAACCAGCTGGCTCTGCCTCTAGATAGGCAGAGCCAGCTGTCAATCACGCAGCTGGGTGGGTCTCAACAGTAATGTCGGGATCCGTCCCGGGTGCGGTGGTCTCAGTATACCGCGAGTTGTAGCTTGCAGTACACTGAGCTTTGGGTCACGGGAGGACACTAGTTGATGTCCTCCCGTGACCCTAAGGAGAACTATGGGGAAAAACACTTACCCCATAGTTCTCCTTTTAAACCAAAACTGCTACAGGGGCGGACTTCTGAATTAGCCAGTTTTATATTTCTTCAATTTAACAGTAAATGTGGAGAATCAGCAAGACAGTCGGGTAACTTGTAGCTCCTAAGTAGTTGACAATGTCAGTGCTTGTGGTATTCCCTTTAAAAAGCCTTGTTTCCATTTGTTCCAGTTTTTATAAATCTGTCTGAAAAGATGATGCTTTGTCTGCCATTCTGAAGTTGTTATCCTCTCTTACTATGTTTTTGAACCATATAGGGATATTATGCTTTATTTGAACACCGTCATATCCAAAACGCATTTTTAGGCTTGCTCTCGGTTGTTAAGTTGATAATTTACAAGCTCTTTCTGTCTTCAGGTGCCGAGAGTTTTCGTCAATGGAACCTGTATAGGAGGTGGGACTGAAACCAGGAAATTAAGTCAAGAGGGAACGTTACTTCAACTTGTCCAACAATGTAACCTCACGGCTGGCCAGAGTTGACCACGAAGATGTACATCAACATTTGCAGAATAGTATGCATGATTCTTAACGGACTTTCTTCCTTTAAAGAAGAAAGTAAAGTCTTTCCACAGCTCAGTCACCTAACTCCTGCAGTTAGGGCTTGTTCGCACCATGTCTGGATCATGTCCAGACCACAGTATTTTGCGTTCCATAAGACGCACCGGACAATACGACGCAGGGAGGTCCGGTGCGCCTTATGGAACAACGTATCTATGGTGATCTCGATCACCGCTGCTCGGTTTTAATACAAGTGATCTAATCAGATCACTTGTATTAAACAAGCAGTGGCTCCTGCTGTACATTTAGCTCTGCTTTAGCAGTGCTAAATGTACAAAAAACTGCATGTCACGGGCGTCGGGATTCGCTCCATAAGACGCAAAAAATACGGTATTTGTTCCCGGACCAAAAAAGCATCCCAATGTATCCCTGTGGTATGTCTAGGCTATGTTCACCCCAGCACAGTCTGTTTCAGGCAAAGAAAAATACTACTTGTGTCATTTTCTCTGGTCTGGAATGCACTGGAACGCATGCAAATGCACTGGACTGCATCTAAAAGCCCATTGTAAGCTAAGGGAATGCGGTAAAAATGCAGTGTTTGCAGACCTGCTCCAGACATGGTGTGAACATTGTCTAAATGTTGCTTTTTAATCCCATGCTTCTGTGTGATGTAAAAGCTGAGATACAGACTTTGCAAGTTCCTCCTCTTCACTCCCAACCACTCTCGGCGAAGGAGACGGACTGTTGATTTGACAGCTCTAATCTCACTGTCTCTGCACTTTCCAGACATAACACAAGGCTCCCCTTCCAGTTCTAGCGCCTCTGCTGAGTCATTTAAGAGTGTGCCCCTTCCCTCTGCATTCCTGTGACCTTGCTTGTGACTGTCAGTGCTCCTTTTCAGTGTGGTTCGGAATAAAGATCACAAGAGACAGCGTATTCTGCAGCAGCTGTCCATATACTAGCTTTAATGAGGGAGGCTTGCCTTGCAGACCTTATGTGTTTGTGGAGACACACACAACTTACTAGCGCACACAAGGGGGGCTCCATAGGACCTTGCAAGAGAAAGAAGCCACTTAAAAACAGGCTATCGTGGCCATTGCTTAAGGGGCCAGCTGATTCTACAGCAAGTTTAAAGGAGAATTATGAGGCGAGTGATTTTCACTCAGCCTCAAAAATCTAAGCCGACCAGTGACAATTAAACTGTCACAGGTCGGCTCAGTAGATCGGGAAGTGAGCGAACACATACTGTCGCTCGCTCACTTCTCGATATATCCGTGCAGAGAGCCGTGACTGTCACTCACGGCTCTCTGCAGGGATCCCCCCCTCCCCTGTCTGATCCTCCAACGCTGACTGGCGGAACGGACGGGGCGGGTACAGCTGGTTCTGCCTCTAGATAGGCAGAGCCAGCTGTCACTCACGCAGCTGGGTGGATCCAGACAGTATTGTCGGGATCCGTTCTGGCTGCGGCGCCTCAGTATACCGCGAGCTTTGGGTGACGGGAGGACGCTAGTTTGTGTCCTCCCGTTACCCTTAGGAGAACTATGGGGAAAAGCACTGACCCAATAGTTCTCATTTTAAACAATAAAGGCTCGGCATTCATTAAAAAAACCTTCTGACTTTAATATCACGTTAATCTGACCAAAGCAGTGTAAACACTACTTAGACAAGGGCTGTTATTTCTGAAAAGTGTAGCGCTGCTTTGCATACTGTTACATTTACATTCTGTTAACATTTGGCGGTTCTAGTAAAGGGGAGAAGTATTGGCGTTGCCATTATTTCATCTCCTTCAGTTGTCGCTAGGTCCAGAGCTGTCGAGCTGATTTTCAGCTTCACTCATTTGTGAAATATTAAACCAAAACTGCGACAGGCATGGAGTTCTGAAGTAACCTGCTTTATACTTAATCTCATGCAATCAAGAGTCTTCTCCTTTGCTCAGTGTGGTCGGGGATGAAGAGGAGTGAACCGTCAATCTGTGTCACACAGAAGCATGGGATAAAAAGCATCATACACTGAGGGAGTTAGGTGACTAAGCTGTGAAAATGAATACAAGGCGAGACTTCTCCTTTAACTTTAACAGGGTTTGTTTACAGCCTAATACAAAGGTGTCAAAGTAAGATTCCAATTCTAATGTCTGATAATTTATTAATATACATTTGTTGTTTTAACTGACACAGCCAGCATATACTGTCCCATGTACTGAAATAAATGTTATTCACAGAGCATCAAAGTTGTGCAAAATTATTATTACATGATTTGCTGTTATAATTTATAAGTTGTAAATGCTCTAAATGTCACCGTTTAGTTATTCTCTAGGCCCCCGTTCACACCTCTGTGATGCGTCATTACAGAGTTGTTGCAGGGTGCATTGTGGTCTGCAGTAGTAGGGCAACCCATTCATTTTACTGGACTGCCTACAACAGTTAAAGTGGTTCTAAACCCTCAGTTTTTTTGCCTATAACAGCGGTTTAAACTTACCTTGTTTTCACTGTGCGCTCCCGTCCGAGAAAACGAAACTGGTTGGGCGGCCGCAAAACATCTTGGGGCGGGCGCATGCGCAGTTCGGATTCTCGGCCGGGAGACGAGCAGAGACGCAAGGTAAGTCTATGGACGCGTGCACCCGCCTGCAGACACCGTGGGATCAGAAGTGCCTGCAAGCAGAGAGCAGTCAGCGCTGGATCAGAGAGCCACCGCACCGCTGGAGGGACAGATGAAAACATCAAGAAAGAAGAAGATCGGATTAAGAGACATCAGTTAAGCTAAGTGCTGATATTAACATTGGGGGGAGGGAAACATTTTTTTGCCTTTTAATGTCACTTTAATTTGCACTAAAAGAAGTGTGTGCACTTTTTTTAAAATCACAACACACTACAGTGCATGATAATAGGTTACCATGCGATGTGGTGTGATATTATTATACAGGATTTATATGGCGCCAACAGTTTGCGCAGCGCTTCACAATAAAAGGAAGACTACAATTCAAGACAAGATGGTAAGGAGGGCCCACAATCTAAAAGTGACACAATGCACATGCGCTGGTTAGCTGTGTTGGGGTGCCATTAAGAAAGGGCTGGACAAATCCCAGGAGACGGGTAGCCCACATCCACTCTCCACATGCCGCACCTCCTCCCCGCCTCACGCTCACTGCCCGCCCAAATACTCCTCTATAGCTGATGCAATTCTGCATTCATTGCTGTATAATTTTACACTTTTCATTTCACTATATTGCAAACCACACTCTTTTTTACTTCCACCGCTCCAAGCTTGCTCCTGTGATGGACTACAAACTCAATACAAACTAGTAGTCCATCACTGGAGCTATTTTTTAAAATGTATTTAATTTTTTTTAACCGATTAATCGAAAGTAATAATTGGCTAACTAATCGATTTTGAAAATAATCGTTAGCTGCAGCTCTACTGCACTGTACTCCGGCATCATCCTGCAAGATTTGCGGTACTGAAGGATGGCAACACCACCCCCTGTAGTATAGAAGCTGGAATATAAAATAACTTTTTCCCTTGATTTTATTTTCTTCATGTTGCTATTTTAGTATGGAGGAGGGGACCCACATATGTTATGCGGACCTTGCTTTTTACTGCAAATTCCACTGTAAAGGGCACGTTTCAGGAGAGAAATACCGTGTTTCCCCGAAAGTAAGACCTACCCCGAAAATAAGACCTAGCACTATCTTCAGGGATTTCTGTAAAGTCTTATTTTCGGGGACACACGGTATGAGAGCTGCCATTGTAGACTTGTTTTTCTAAAAAATGTGAGCTACAGGGCTTCAACTCTCATCCTTGCTTTGTAAGAATTGTGCAGCAGGTAAAGTTAGGGCTCTTGCATACTTGTTTCTAGTCACTGACTCGCTAGGTACTTAGCAATGATAACATCCCAGAAGCTTGCAATAATTTAAAGATCACAACAAACACTGTAAGACCCCCTTCACATGGCTGCTGTCTGATCCATACACGGATCCCCTGCTGATAACAGCAGTACGGAACACGTCACTTCTGTCACATACGTGTCTGTTCACTTTTTTGCTCCAATGGACTAAATGGACTTATGAGGAGTCGGATGTAAGCGGACATGTGACTGTCTACCTCCACCTACCTCCGATCAGTAACGCTCAGTTCCACCAAAACAGAATTCTTCCATTTTTTTTCCCAGACCTAGACAGACTCAGAGGTAATTGGAAACCGAGATTCAGCAGCAATGGAAAGTGATAAGGAAAACACTAAAGCTGCCATACGCCTATAGATTATCTGCAGATTTTCTATGGTCAGATGGAAAAAGTGCAACAGATTCCTCCATCTACGCTAAACTGTGTGGATGGAGGAATCTCCCACTCGGCCAAGCTTCACTATCTTGCTAGCTGGCCCCGCTGGCTCTCAAAATACCTGAACAATCTGATTGGATGCAGGCATTGTTCAGGTAGTCTATTGCTGCTGAATCTCGGTTTCCAATTACCTCTGAGTCTGTCTAGGTCTGGGAAAAAAAATGGAAGAATTCTGTTTTGGTGGAACTGAGCGTTACTGATCGGAGGTAGGTGGAGGTAGACAGTCACATGTCCGCTTACATCCGACTCCTCATAAGTCCATTGGAGGAAAAAAGTGAACAGACACGCATGTGACAGAAGTGACGTGTTCCGTACTGCTGTTACCAGCAGGGGATCCGTGTATGGATCAGACAGCAGCCATGTGAAGGGGGTCTTACAGTGTTTGTTGTGATCTTTGGGGTGGAGGGGGGGCTTAGAGAGACACCGACCAACACTGGGGGGCTTAGTTGAGGAGAGAGACAGTGACGCTGGGGTCACGTAAAAATTTCCTCGGCTGAAAAGGGGTCACGAGTGGAAAAAGTTTAAGATGGCCTGCTCTAGAGTACCAGTATAAGACATGAATGTGTTTACATACATGTGCATTGAAAATCTTTAAACATGGTTCAGATCTCACACTGGGAGCAGATAAACAGATTTGACCTAAGCAGTAGTTTACAGATAAAAATGAAAAGTTCTTTGATTGTGCATTGCATACAACCATCATGAAGGCTC